GTGATCCAAGACTGTACTGTAATATTTTTGGATGATCCTTTCCTTGGCCTCAGGTCATTTCCTCACATGCAGTGGTCAATACTTACCTGAAGAATCAGGAGCAATTCATTCCAGACCACGAGAATTCTCTTTCTATGCAGCTTTCTCCCTTCTAGCAAACTCTGGCTGCATTGGTCTCACCAGGCTCTGGGCTCTATCAACAGAGGGATTCCACCAGGCTGATATGTTCCTCTCTCCTTGTACTATGGCTTAGAAATTCTCCCAAGGCACTAAACTGAGGCAAACATAGGACTCACTTTGTTTTCTGTTGATCAAGCTTCACTGTCCTTCATTGCCTGATATCCAATATCTTAGAAAACATTGTTTTATATATTTTGTCCATTTTTTATTGTTTCTGGCCTGTCTCAAACTTTTAACCATTACATGCCCAAACAAAAATTAATGCATTCAAGAAAAAAACTGGATAGATTTGTTTTCCACCACTCTGAATCAAAAACTGATTTATACTTGGTGCCTGAAGAATAGGAAATATTATAGCTTACTTCTTTGTAAATATTAAAGAATGATTATGAAACATCAAATGTATATATTTTTTTAAAACTTTCTAGCCCTATGTCATAATGATGTATCATTCTTTTGGAGGAAACAGGATTGTTCATTGCTAAGTAGAATGAATGTAGTAACAAAGAAACAGAGTTAACACTGCACCAGGTATGTGAGAACTGCACTTGAGATCCCAAACTGAAATAAACTTATGAATACATAGCACACTCATCACATTAAATAAAATGTTCCCCAATTTTTATTATATTGTTATTTATCTGGGATTATTTCTCCATTTTACATTTAAAAATTAGTGAAATTATATGTAATCATAACTTTTTTCCTTACAAAATAAAGTTATTCATGAAACTTTCACTTTAATCTTTTTTTTTTTTTTTTTTTTTTTTTTTTTGAGATGGAGTCTCGCTCTGTAGCCCAGGCTGGAGTGCAGTGGCCGGATCTCAGCTCACTGCAAGCTCCGCCTCCTGGGTTCACGCCATTCTCCGGCCTCAGCCTCCCGAGTAGCTGGGACTACAGGCGCCCGCCACCTCGCTTGGCTAGTTTTTTGTATTTCTTAGTAGAGACGGGGTTTCACCGTGTTAGCCAGGATGGTCTCGATCTCCTCACCTCGTGATCCACCCGTCTCGGCCTCCCAAAGTGCTGGGATTACAGGCTTGAGCCACCGCGCCCGGCCCATTTTAATCTTAAAACCTTTTCTCCTTATCAACTCATTTCTTTCATCTTAGAAGATTATCAATGTTATATTTTTTTTGTTTTTTTGAGACAGAGTCTCGCTCTGTTGCCCAGGCTGGAGTGCAGTGGTGTGATGTTGGCTCACTGCAAGCTCCACCTCCCACGTTCACACTATTCTCCTGCCTTAGCCTCTGGAGTAGCTGGGACTACAGGCACGTGCCGCTACGCTCAGCTAATTTTTTGTATTTTTAGTAGAGACGGGGTTTCACCATGTTAGCCAGGATGGTCTCGATCTCCTGACCTCATGATCGGTCACCTTGGCCTCCCAAAGTGCTGGGATTACAGGCATGAGCCACTATGCCCGCCCAGTTATGGCTTTTAATGATAAATTAATTTGTCATATACCTACAATCATTGTTTGCATAAATTCCCATCAGTTCACTAGGAATCACAAGAAAAAAAAGCAGTGCGTCTGCCACTACAAAACACTTTATGCATCAAACAGATTAAGCAACCATAAGGTATTTCTGTGATGTGTAACCAGGCTTGTAGAAGACTTTTCCACATCATTGATTTTTTATGTTAAGTCACATAACTTATAGAGGAAAGCTACCTCCCTCTAGTTTTCACTTCCTATATTTTGTTCCATAATTCATTTTCTTCAAATTAAGATTAATTTACACTTAACATTTATAAGACAAGTAGAAATTAACACGGGAAGCAAAGCATACTACTATATAAAAATGAGGTGAATAAGTACCACAAATAAAAATTATTTAGAACTAAATGACCAACTACTATTATAGTCTATAAAGATTTTCTTGCATTGTTCCTATCCTGGATTTACCAGGCTTCAGGCTTAGATCCTATCTAACCTCTCTAACTATTGCTTTCAAACTTAAGTTTCAGCTACCACACAGGCAGTGCAAAAACAGAACCACTCAAGGAGATGAACCTTCACTATGTCTTAACTTCTCAGTCACAAAACTCCTATTCTGTTTTTTGTTTGTTTGTTTGTTTCTTTTTGAGGCGGAGTTTTGCTGTTGCTGCCCAAGCTGTAGTGCAATGGCGCCATCTCGGCTCACTGCAACCTCTGCCTCCCAGGTTTGAGCAATTCTCCTGCCTCAGGCTACCAAGTAGCTGGGATTACCGGCGCCCGCCACCACGCCCCGATAATTTTTTGTATTTTTAGTAGAAATGGGGTTTCACCATGTTAACCAAGCTAGTCTCAAACTTCTGACCTCAGATGATCCGCCTGCCTCAGCCTCCCAAAGTGCTGGGATTACAGGCGTGAGCCACCACACCCGGCCAAAACTCCTGTTCTAGTTGAATAGGCAGAAATGCTATTCTGACTACATCAGACAGAATTCTTTCTGATCCACAGATATCAAAGGTTTATGAGACAAAATTTTAAAAGGGGCAAAAGGTAAAAAAGAGCCCTACTTTTACTATTAAATTAGCTGTCTGACCTTTGGCAAATACTTAGTTTCTCCATCTAAAACCAGAAAGGAGGTTAGAGGAGATATGACTATAGCAGAACACGGCTTATGGAAATTATGCATTATTGCTCTATAATCCTTAATCCATATATATTAGGACACTGTTTCGAAAATATTATTGAAGCCTTTAACCTCCTGGTATGATGCAATAGGATGTTTATAAACTACCACATAAGTAGTATTTTTGCCCTTGCGCCCAAGTAGTCAAACCTGAACCTAATCAAGCATCTAAATTTTACTATTAGTTTACAGAAAATAAACATGAGAGAATAGGTTGAATGACTGTATGAGGATGGAAACAGCCAGATCCTGAATATGGGAAATTCAATCAGACAAATGACCTAACCTCTACAACAAATAAATGTCAACACAAAAAAGGGGGACTCTGTTATATATTAAGAGAGACAAAGATATATCAATAAAATGAAATATGTGGACATAGTTTAGCTTCTAATTCAAAGAAACAAGTTTAAAAACATTTTTTGGCAATAATTATAAAAATCCTAACACTCAATATTAGATATTAGATAAAAATGTTACAGTGTCATACATTTCCTTCAAAATAGTTCTGGCTGACAGAAGGGTAGAGTGCGTGTATATGTGAATGAGTATTACGGTAGGGGGAAGGGGGGGACTTGATAATGGTTGGAGCTAGGTGTTGGGTTGTTGGGTTCATTATACAATTCTTTACCTTTGTGTATATTAAAGTATGATTTTCAATTCTATTAAGTACACATTACCTAATATATCACTAGTCCATGTTAAGGAAATGAAATTCTCGAAGCTAAGAACAAAATCTTAAGAAAACAAAAAGACAAAAAAAGTAGTCACTAACAGCCCAATATAATTATCTAACAAATGATATGTTCTATATTTATTAACAAAATAAACCATGGAAAGCATACATGCAATACAACTCCATTTATATTAAGGTCAAAAAGAGGCTTATTTCGGATATACCGCTAGACAGCCTTAAAACTATAATAATCTCTGAAGACAAGCAAGGTAATAGATAACATGAAATTCAAGATGATGGTTTCCCCTGGGAAGGAGGGGAAATATATTCACAAAGGAACACAAGAGGCTTAAAAGATACCTTTATGTTTCTTAATTTGGATGCTGGGTATATATGTTCATCTTATTACTCTTCTGTGGTATAATAAAAAAATATATTTATTCTTTGTCCTTGGTTCCTGGAAGAAAGCTCCTAAAACCCTTACAATTTCCTGATAGGAGGTGTCTTTTATACTTCATAATGTATCCCTTTCAGTTATACCTGAGTTTATGTTAATGAGATGACTCATAAGGGTTGGGAGATAGAGAGGGACCCTAGGTATCTTCAGGATGGAGGTTGGTTACCAGAAAAACCAACTAGGTATTTATAGGACTGAAACTTTTAGCCCATCTCACTATCTCTGACAAGGAGAGAAGAACTGGAAACTCAGTTCAAGTAAGTGACTATTGATTAATGATTAATGAATCATGTCTGATCAATGAAACCCCATAAAAAAACTTTGAAACCATCTGGCTTAAGGGGCTTCCAAACACATTAATGTGCTGGGAGGGTGGCACACACAAAGAGGACATGAAAGTTTTGCATCCTCTGTCCCCCATACCTTCCCCGATGTGTCTCTTCCATTTGGCTGTTCTCGAGTTGTATCCTTTACACAAAAACTGTAGTAGTAAAATAGCGCTTTCCTAAGTTCTGTGAGTCATTCTAGCAAATTATAAAACCTGGGGGGTAGGTCATGGGAATGCCCAAATATGGGGTCAGCCTGGAAGAAGTCCAAGTAGGTTGGGAATACCTGAGACTTGTGGCCAGGCATGTGAAATGGAGGCAGTCTTGTGGGACTGAGCACTTAACCTGTGGCATCTGTGCTAACTTCAGGCAATTAGTATCAAAATTGAATTGCATTGCAGGACATCCAGCTGGTGTCAGGGAATTGCTATTGGAATGATGTATCACTAAATGGGTAGGTGGGTGTGTTTCATACATACTTTCTTTTCTCATAAATGACATATTTAATAGGAATAATTCAACTACTGTGAATTTAAAAATCAAACAAAAAACTATGGAGTTGCACATACTTTTTAACTTATGGGACAAGTCATTATTCATAGGTCTTAAGTCTCAAAAGAGGCAGGATTGCCTGGATTCTCTCATTTGCAATTTTATCTTTCAATCAAATAAGAATGGCTTCATTAATTTTTTACACAAAACATTATCAATCTGGGCATTTTCTGGCTTATTTCCCAATAACTTACTCAGAATTTGGCACATCAAAAACTTCATTGCTGTTTACCACAGTACTGAAACAAAAACAAACGAAAACTTATTCCCAAGTGTCATTATAACAACTGCTTGATTTTCCCCAAGTTCAGAATGAAGACTTTAATAACTCAAAAGGGGCTACAATTCATGCAAACTAAGAAAAGCTACAATGCTACTTTCATGCATAGGTATACTAAATACACATTTATATAGTCTCAAAATAGTCCTTGTCTGAAATATTTGCTAAATAACAAGAATGCAACAACTTTTTGACCAAAAAAAATGATCTTTTGCATTCCTTCCTAGGTAGGGCATTAATTTATTTACCTAAAATTGGTTTCTTATAATTTTATTTTAAATGTAAGCTACTATTACCTAACAAATCAGCTTTTAATTATAATCTTATTTTAGCCTACAGAAAAATATGTATAAGGTCCTTTTGTTTGAAATGTCACTGTCTTCATTTTTCTCTTTATCTTCCTTCTGTTTGGTGAAATGACATAACAAACTGCTGCAAATTCTGTTTCTCACTCTGCTGTTGGTTCGTATTTGCAGATCATCATAGCTTAATTGATACAATGAACAAATGCCTCTTAAAAAACTGTTTTACTGGCCAGCAGAAATAAAAAACAAACCCTTCACAAATTACACTGATAAAAGTCTCTGTCCCTAACACTATCATAACTCTCAAGAATCTTAACAATTTCACTCTCACCAGGCTGGAGTGCAGTGGCGTGATTTCGGCTCACTGCAACCTCTGCCTCCTGGGTTCAAGCGATTCTCCTGCCTCAGCCTCCTGAGTAGCTGGCACTACATCCAGCTAATTTTTGTATTTTTAGTAGAGACAGGGTTTCACCATGTTGGTCAGGATCTCCTGATCTCATGATCTGCCCGCTTCAGCCTCTCAAAGTGCTAGGATTACAGGCGTGAGCTACCGTGCCGGGCTAAAATCTCTTATCTCTACTCTTTAATAATTATTAATTATCCATCCAGTAGAAAAAACTGAGAAAAATAAACCTGGGTAATATTTACCCAAGTCTCTTGTTTTCGAATTGCTTCTGTCATGGAGCTAGGTGGCACAGATTTTGATCACAAGAGATTTTGATTTTTCTAAACATCCTTGAATCTATCTGGAGAAATGTGCTACAGGTACAGTTCAGGAACAACAACAAAAAAAGAAAAAACCCAACACCCAATGGTCCCAATTCAACACTGCTTTTTAAAATTAAGCTATCACACAACGATTTGTTTTTGTTAAACATTTTAGCATTCTAACTCATATTCCCAAACTTTTCAGGATTTTACTTATCTATCAAAAAATCCCAATTATATTCCTGTTCTTTCCAATCCCACACCCCCACCCCCCCCAAAAAAAAAGCAATACCTCTCATGCTCTTCTCTGCCGATCAGGAACGGATCACTCCATGAAGGGCAATTGTAAATATCTATCATATTTGCAAACACATTTCCTCTTGGATCCAGCAACTCTTTAATTCTTTTCAGAATCTGACAGTTACCCCTGCAAATGTAGAAATGACATGTATTCACTGAACAATTGTTTCTAATATCTAAAGACTGGAAACAACGTCAAGGGTCCACCTATGTGTGATTTACTGTATAAACTGGAGTATATCTACAAAATGGAGTATGTGACAGAAAAAATAAGTTTAATTGAATACTGATAAGGAGGAATATCCAGAATATACAGTAAAACGGGGGGGGAAAAAAAAAACATGAACAGTGCAGAAAATATTGAAGGACAGACCCAGCGAAATGAGACTGTATATTCTCATCTGCTTGTATCTCTGCATGAAGACCAGAAGGATAAATAAGAAACTAATTTAAAATGATTACCCGTTGAAGACTAGAAATGGTACTGTACAGAGACTAGGAAGTGTTTCTCGCTGCATTTCTTTTCATGTAGTTTGAGCCATGTAAAATAAATATTTGCTAATCTTTTGATTAAAAGCTTTAAAAATCCAGTGGGAGAGGCTGGGTGTGGTGGCTCACCCCTGTAATCCCAGCACTTTGGGAGGCCCAGGCGGATGGATCACCTGAGGTCAGGAGTTCGAGACCAGCCTGGCCAACATGGTGAAACCTCGTCTCTACTAAAAATACGAAAATCAGCCGGGCGTGGTGGCGGGCACCTGTAATTCCAGCCACTCGGGAGGCTGAGGCAGGAGCATCGCTTGAACTGGGAGGCGGAGGTTGCAGTGAGCCGAGGTTGTGCCACTACACTCCAGCCTGGGCGAGAGTGAGACTCCGTCTCAAAAAAAAAAAAAAATCCAGTGGGAGAATCAAAATTTTTTAAAAATTTGACTGTGTAATCCTACAAGAAGTAAGTAGCTTGAGGAAGAGAAATGCTGATAAAGTCGCATTAAGTTTCAGAGTTGAAATTCAAGCTTCGGTATCTAACTTTTGTTTCCCTGTTTCTTTAACGTAGAATTACAAAAAAAACCATATATATGACATATATATGTCAAACCAAAAAATATATATTATAAATATATAAGAATATATATATTCTCCTTTATATATTTTTTTTGTCACATATATATATACACACACACATATATATAAACTCCAGAAAAATACTTGGTTTGTGACAAAGATGCACTTATTTGCACGAACCTATCTTGTTAATGACCAAGAAACGTGCTCTGTTACAATCATTAGAGGACAGAAATATACATACATATTTAAATCTATGTAATGAAATGCAGGTTTATGTTAAAAAACCAATGACCTGCTAACTGAAAGAGTCGCACACTAATACTATGATTATTAAACACAATGCTATTCTCTAAAGAAGTAAATAGGTGAAATGATATCAGAGTTCAAAATTCTCTAACTCTTCCACAAAGACTGTGAAAATCACCTTGGAGTGTAGGAACCAGCGTCCTGGCCCCGCCAGCTCCGGGATGGGGTGGGCGCGGGCCGGGAGCGCTTACCCCGCCGCAGGAGCGATTCAGCGCCACCACCAGCTTCGCCTGGTTGTGGTGCGGCTGCTGCGCCAGCCGAAAGGCCTCCTTAATCCGCAGCAGTCTCTTTACGCTCCCATGGCTCTGGGACTCTGTCCGGACAAGCCCTGTCGGCGTTCAGCTACAGCCAACCTGCCCACCAATCCAGAGGCAGAGCTCTCCGCGGCGTCTCCTCAGGCTTCTTGTCAGAGGGCCCCAGGCCCCTAAGGAGTCGTTACCGCGCAGGCATTCAAATAACTCCCGCGACAGGAGGAAATCCCGCGAGACTGCCGGCATTGACTAGGGAAGTGGAAATGTGGAGCGTGCACCGCCGACTCTCTCGACTCCCGGACACCGCCCCGGTCTCACGCATGCGCAGAGGGCCTATCCAGGTCTTTCCGGCTGGAATGTGGAATTTGTGAGGTAAGCCGGAAGTGGTGTTGCGCAGGGAATTGTGGGGAGAGTTGAGGTGTATCTCCGCTGCAGAGACCTGAGGTTTGCGGCGCTGGGCCCGGCCGGGTTGCTGCGTCGGGGCTGGAGGTGAGGCGAAAGAAGGACAACCTCTGATGGGAGTGGACCGGAGTCCGCTAAAGCGAAACATTCCAGGGTTCGTTGCGGGGAAATACAGTCTGGTTTTGCCCCCCGTATGAATTGAGGGAAGGTGAGAGCAGCAGCAATCCGGGCCTGAAGGGCGATTATGCTAGGGTCGGCCGAGGGGTTCAGGCCAAAGTTCTTTGAAATCCTAGTTGGGTACCTGGAGGACGAGAAAACCGGTCAGGAGTCTCCTGGGAAGAGGGTCATATTTTAATCTAGCTAAAGCTGGTACCTGGCAGTTTCCACTCTTAAGGCCTAGTGTACTAACTAATGTGTGCGTAATATCAAAACAGGAAACAAAGGGAAATGCAAGAGATGGAAGGTAATTTTAAGTTAGTGGCTGTATGACAGTTTCGCAGTGCCTTCAGGAAGGTATCCAGCCTTATAAATCCTTTTTTAAAATAGACGATTTCAGACAGACAAAAGTAGAAACGAAACTGTAATACATGTGTACTCACCACTGAATTGGAGAAATAAATGATTATATTAAGTGATTGAAGTCCTTTGTCAGCTCTACCCCATCTCATTCTCTTCCCTTTTGCCCAAGGAAACCACTCTCCCAACCACCTTTATGCAATCAGTAATGTGTACATCTTTTTGCAGCTAGCTTGTTTTACATAATGTTTTTGAGATTTGTCAGTGTTGTATAACTCCACCTCATTCATCTTAATAGCTGAACGGATATTCTATTATTTTAATATGTCACTGTTAAGTATCTCCAGTGCCTGACATACTTTAGGACTGTAGGTAGCTAAATGTTAGTTGAATGTATGACTGCTGTAGCATTTGAACTAAGTAAAAAAGAATAGGACTTCATGTGACCCAACAGGAGTATTCCAGGCAAAGGGAATAGTAGCCAAAAGCAGAGACATGAAAGTGCATGAACTATTTCAAGAATGTCCATACTTTTAGTACTGAAATGTGGAATGTATGGAGATCATGTGATGAACGAGAAACCTGGAAAGATGAGGCTTAACCTTAGAGGATATTATCCTGAAGAGCTTACACAAGCTCGGTGCCATTAAGTGCTTTTCCAGTTATGAAGAAGCTGATTAGAGCTGCATTTTCAGAAGATGATACTCACAGCACACTAGAGATATATCTTAGGATATAAAAGATTAGAGATAGGGAATTTTAGACTATCAAGCATTATAACAACAATCATTGCATTAAGCAAGTAAGACAGCCAGCCAGACTAAAAATCCTAAAACATTCTCCTAGTCCATCGTATTATCACATTCCTAAACAATTATTAATATTTCATATTTTCTTCTGACAAACTTGCAACATTTTCTACTTGGGCCTTTTGCTTAGATGATACCTCGCATCCTATTCAGTTAAAAAAGAACTTCCCCATGCTTTCATCACCACATCTACGAGATCCGTTCCCTAATATACTGCCACTGCTATTACTGTAGGTGAACTGTCTGATTTAGGAGGGAGAGTAAACCCTTTAAGAATAACTTTTTAATACAATAGTAACTGAACTAGTGTTATAAACTTTCAACGGGGCATTGAAACATGAAAAGTAAGAATATGAAAGAATAGAATGGTTAAAAGACAATTGCTTCTAAGAGAATAATGATCCATATATGGAGTAATGTAAAAATAAGATACTCTTTTAATGTATGTTTCTTTTTTTCAGGTAGATTTAGGTTCTAAGCTTTAAAAACTAAATCTAAATTTACATGTATGTTTTTATAGGATCTTTGTTTCTACTATTTCTTAACATAAGCAGTTTATTATGAAATAGAATCTTCGACAATCCTATTTTAAATAATATGTTGTATTAGCCTTTGTCTTACATATTTCCAAATTGTCCAAATATAGTTGGATAACTTATTTGTTACTGACTGTGATAAAAATAGAATGTACATTGTACAGTTTACTACAGGTGTCATTAATTTTCTCATTCTTTCAAATACATTGAGTAACTACCATACAGCAAGCACTATTCTAGGAACAAGTAGATAAGATTTATTAGTGGAAAATCACTAACCTGAAACCAATCATATGACCATGTTAATGCACCTTGGTGTATGGGAAACTTTCAGCTACAAATATTTGATTACCTTAATTGTAATTCTTAAGGGAGGCTAAATAGATGGATAGCTGAATAAAGTTATTACTTGGAAATATTGCCATGTAGCCACAGGAGCCAATTTCAGTGCACACATCTTAAGCATCAGTGTACACATTTATAGGTCTTTGGTGTTTTTGACCAGCAGAACCCACCTGGGTTATGGAATCACACTGGTGTACTTGATCGTGTTCAGGTATGAACATGCTCTGATTTACATTGAGTACTAATTGAGAATGTCTATTTAAATTAAAGTTCCAGAACTTATGGTTAGGCCAGAACCTCAGGTTTGAACTTCTCTCCTAAAATTCCTCTGGCTTCTCATTGAAGCTGCTTTCAGAGATGTAAGTAAAGAAAGTCAAACAAAAGACTTTGTAGCACGTTTTGTTTAGCATGTTTTGTTTAGCACTGTTTTTCTTGAGCTATATATGATAAATATCTAGGGAGAGGTGGCAGAAGGACAAAATTGTAGTAGTTTGAGGTTTCTTGGGGGAAAGTTGAAGCATTAAAACATGTTAGCATCCGTACATGAACTTTTAACTATGGAAGGAAGAGTCAGTATTCCCTTTCAGGCAGGTGTTTATCTGGTTTAGACTGCCTCAAGGCTGTATATTGCCCTTCAACTTTTCTTATGCATTAAAAAGAGATCTACATGCATTTGCCTTCAACAGTGTAGTTCTGATATTGATGACCACCCACTGTGCTGGGACATCCAAGACATATGTACCATAAACTCTTTAGTCCTGCTATTGTCCTTGGCAGAGGACATAAAACCTAATAAAATCTTTTTCCCTTTCCAGCCAAGGTTAGGAATTTGTAACATGTCATCTTTCAAGGAAGCATCTAACCAAGATTAAGTCAAAGGCATCTACCAGGTCCTGAATTCTCTCCCAGATGCACACCTTTTAAGGTACAATCAGGTACCATATGTAATAAATCTCTAGCTATTTAACCATCATTAAAGCATTTAGGACTTTGATTTCCTAGAAAAACTCATGGTCCGCAAAATAATTGTGTTAAAAGGTAAAAAACCTGATCAGGAAAAAGAGGTTTAGGGCCAAACTGTACAACTTTGTAACTAGACCAATAACACAAAATAACAGTGTTTTTAAATGTACCCAGGATTTATTTTAATCAGATATGGTAAGATATGCAGATGTGAAAATGATTATCATGAAAGAAGAAATTTTTATACTCCTGGATCCTTAGAAGCGGGAAGCATATAGCACCTTACACCATGCAAGGGTGCCATACCTAGAAGCAGCAGGGTCAGTGGGGAGAGAAAGTACAAGGAATCTGCAGGAAAGCCTTTATTCGGTTTTCTTAGGAAGGAGTGGGCAAAACTGGATAAGCAGGCTTGAACAGGTTTAAAATTGGCTAGTTTAAATAATTTTGGCTGACTTGGGACATAGGGGATATCCCTAGTTGCCTGGTAGCTCGTCCTGGAGTGATTAGGACAGGGCAATATTGGCCAGGAGTGTAAGAACCCAAGATGTCTTGTGTTGGGGGTGGGGGGATTCTGGACTGGTTAGTTTGCATAGGAATTAGCTAACCCTGGGAGAGGTAGTACCTCTGCAGTCATCCAGGAACCACCTAGATACCAGATCATTAACAATACAAAGATAAGAAAATACAATTAATGTAAACAGTCATAATAAACATACAGTATTAACACAGTTAAGACATGTTGAATTTTTAATAAATAAACACTACAGTAAATGTAAGACTGCACCCCTCCCAAAAAATTTGAGGTATTTTGATGGAAAACTATATAAGGAAAAGTTGAAACTACTGTTATGGTCATAAGACTGAAATATACTATGATCCAAGAGAGCAGTGCATCACTACCAAGGCAGGCATGACCAAGATAGGTGCAGCCAAGCAAAAAGGAAGTATGTATGGCGAGTAAGCTATAGTCCTTCATGGCTTGCGGTATTCTGTGTTGCTAATATACTTTCCAACTCCTGATGCCAACTTCTGGGTTTTACTGTTACTGTTTTTCTATTTACTAATCTCGAAGTGGTTTGCCTTACAGAAATAGGCCTAAGCCAATATAAGATAGTGATAAAGAGAGCTATAGACTTTTTGCCTCACCGTCCATGATCTCGGATGTCATAAAGGCCCCCATAGCTGGCAGTAATATTACTTTGTACAGTGATTCTTTAATGTCTTATCTCTGGTCTTATTCCCAGGTCAAGGATGCATTCCAGGAAAGTTCCATAAAAATATACCATCAGCTCCAACCCGATATTTGACCTAGCCATGGAAAACCTCATTGGCTCCTCACTAGATCAGACCATAAAAATGATTCAGGAATGAAAATCTAAGATAAATTCCCACCACTTCAAGATGTTCTTATACAAGTCAACAGTCTAGCAGATCAGCTAGTCTCTTTCATCATCAAGCAGACATACTCAAGGTACCAACACAGCAAAGGCACAAAATGTCTCTATATCAGTGTTTTTCACAGTATATGTGAGACCCATTAGTGAGGCATGAAATCAATTCTGTGAGTCACAATGAACTTTTTTTTAAAAAAAAAAAAACAAAATAAAATGTAAAATACCAAAGTGTTGAATCCTTTGCCTGAATTGTGCACATTACAAGGAATGCTGAGTTCAATTTCAATATGTGAGAGGGTTATTTGATGGAGGGGATATGATGAATAGAATGTATATTGGCTAAGAAATGGTTTTCAGTCATTTATTCAGGGGTGTCTTGCTTGATTTTTATAATAGCAAGGTTAATGTTGTACAGTCACATTTTATATTACAATTACTTGCAACTAGTTGTGAAGTCTGAGATACTCAGTTGAGATTCAATTGCAAACTTTGAGTGTAGTTTTTGAAAATATGTTATTTAGACTATATATATTTTTTTCTTTTTTGAGTTAATGCCAATTATAACATTTTAATCAAACTGGAACAAATTGCTATTAAAATGGATCATTTCTTTATTAAAAGAAAGAGGAATAGTGAAGTGAAATATACAGAAGCATGTTCAAGTTCATCTGTTGAATCTGGAATTGTGAATAGTGACAATATTGAGAAAAATACTGACTCCAGTCTGCAAACTTCAAGTTCATTTGAGCCGCATTTCAAAAAGAAAAAAGTAAGTGCAAGACGTTATAATGAAGATTACTTAAAATACGGCTTTATCAAATGTGAAAAACCCTTTGAAAATGACAGACCTCAGTGTGTTATTTGTAATAATATTCTTGCAAATGAAAGCTTAAAACCTTCAAAATTAAAAAGGCACTTAGAAACTCAGCATGCTGAACTTATTGATAAGCCTCTTGAATATTTTCAAAGAAAGAAAAAAGATGTAAAGTTATCAACACAATTTCTTAGTAGTTCTACTACTGTTAGTGAGAAAGCCTTATTATCATCATATTTAGTTGCATATCGTGTGGCAAAAGAAAAAATAGCTAACACAGCTGCTGAAAAAATTATTCTTCCAGCGTGTTTGGATATGGTGCGTACAATATTTGATGATAAATCCGCTGATAAATTAAAAACTATACCTAATGATAACACAGTATCTCTTCGAATTTGTACTATTGCAGAACATTTAGAAACAATGCTTATTACTCGGTTACAGTCTGGTATAGATTTTGCAATCCAGCTTGATGAAAGCACTGATACTGGAAGCTGCACAACACTTTTAGTTTATGTCAGATATGCGTGGCAAGATGATTTTATGGAGGATTTTTTGTGTTTTTTAAATTTAACCTCACACCTAAGTGGATTAGATATTTTTACAGAAATAGAAAGGCACATAGTTGGCCAATATAAATTAAACTGGAAAAACTGTAAAGGAATTACAAGTGACGGCACAGCAACCATAACTGGAAAACATAGCAGAGTAATTAAAAAATTACTAGAAGTTACTAATAATGGTGCTGTGTGGAATCATTGTTTTATACATCGTGAAGGTTTAGCATCCAGAGAAATTCCACAGTCTCTCATGGAAGTATTGAAAAATGCAGTGAAAGTTGTTAATTTTATTAAAGGAAGCTCATTGAATAGCCGGCTTCTTGAAACATTTTGTTCAGAGATTGGAACTAACCATACCCACTTACTTTATCATACCAAAGTTCGCTGGTTGTCTCAAGGGAAAATACTAAGCAGGGTTTATGAGCTCAGGAATGAGATTCACTTTTTTCTCATTGAAAAAAAATCTCATTTGGCAAATATTTTTGAAGATGATACTTGGGTAACAAAATTGGCATATTTAACTGATATTTTTAGCATTCTTAATGAACTGAGTTTAAAACTACAGGGGAAAAACAGTGATGTATTCCAACATGTTGAATGTATTCAGGGATTTCGAAAGACGTTATTGTTATGGCAAGTAAGACTTAAAAGTAATCGTCCTAGCTACTACATGTTTCCAAGATTTTTGCAACATATTGAAGAGAATATTATTAATGAAAACATTTTGAAAGAAATAAAGTTAGAGATATTGTTGCATCTCACTTCTCTATCTCAAACTTTTAACCATTTCTTTCCAGAAGAAAAATTTGAAACATTAAGGGAAAACAGTTGGGTAAAAGATCCATTTGCTTTTCGAAACCCTGAATCAATAATTGAGCTAAACTTGGTGCCTGAAGAAGAGAATGAATTATTGCAGCTTAGTTCTTCATATACGTTGAAGAATGATTATGAGACCTTAAGTTTATCAGCATTTTGGATTAAGGTAAAGGAAGACTTTCCATTGTTAAGTAGAAAGAGTGTCCTGCTATTACTACCATTCACAACAACTAGTTTGTGTGAACTAGGGTTTTCCATCTTAACCCAGTTCAAAACAAAGGAAAGAAATGGGCTGAATGGTGCAGCAGCTATGCGGGTAGCATTATCTTCCTGTGTTCCAGACTGGAATGAACTTATGAACAGGCAAGCACACCCATCATAGTAAATAAAATCTTACCTAGTTTTTGTTTTTGCGTTTCTTATTTTGTAGTATTTTTCTATGTTATATTTAAATGCTACTATAACATTGTGATACTTTTGTTATGTTTTAATTTTTGTTGTATTTAATAAAATTATGTTCATTGAACAAAAATTTAATGAATTTCTGTTAGAGGCCAGGAATTATTCCAGAGACATTTGGGTTACAAAAGTGAGCAAAACAGATAATTCCCTAGTAGAGTTTATATCCTGGCAAGGAGAAATTGAAAATAAACCTAATAAATAAGCTTTATAATATCTAGAAGCTATTAAGTGCTACAGAAAGAGTAGTAAAAAGGAAGATCAGGGAAGTATTGGGGAACCAAACCATGAAGGGTTCTGAAGACCATTATTGGGCCTCTGGCTTTTGTCAGTGGACTAGAGAACATTGAAGGGTTTAAGCAAAGGAGAGAAATGATCTGAGCTAGGTTTTAATAAACACTCTGGTCACTATTTTAAATGCTTAGGATAAGTCTGAATTAAATGTTACTTTCCCCTCACTGGGCATGGTGGCTCAGACCTGTAATCTCAGCACTTTGGCAGGCCATGGCAGAAGGATCAGTTGAGCCCAGGAGTTCAAGACCATCCTGGGCGACATAGTGAGACTTTGTTTTTACTAAAATTTTTTAAAAAATAAACCAGGTGTGGTGGTGCACACCTGTAGTCCCAGCTACTCGGGAGGCTGAGGCAGGAGGGTCGCTTGAGCTCAGGAGTTTGAAGTTGCAGTCATCTGTGACTGCACCACGGCAGTCCAGCCTGAGCAAGAGTGTGAAACCCTGTCTCAAAAAAATGTTACTTCCCTTAAAAAAACCTTTTCTAACCACCCTAGGGTAAATCCTCCATTATTACTTTTATTTATTTGTTTTCCTTGTAGTGTATAATATGTAATAATTTTGATTGCTAATTGTCATTCTGCCACCTTGGAGTATATAATTTGTAATTATTTGATTACTATTCTTCCATAGTGGGGGAGATGATGTCCATTTGCCTGATACATAGTGTGTATTCAATATACATTTGCTAAAGAATACATGAATCAATAATACCTAACATCTCTAATTTGCAGTCATTCCCAAGAGTAATTATTAAATATGTGGCAATTTTCTTTGCCTTTTTTACTTTCAAAAATCTAACTTTGACATAACTTCTGTAACCATCCAGAAATGACATTGATGTTACTTCTTCACATTGTTGCTGATGCTTAAGCAATGTATATTGTGTAATATACAACATAGTCTTCAAACTAATTTCAATCTCTGCTTCTCTGTGTACTCCGTTATCCCACTGGGTGATATCATTTGGCATGGTCATTCTCATTAAAATCATACAGCGTAGCAGTACCTTTCCATCTGCTACCGTGCCTAGCCTTATTTAATTTTTCAGATTTTCTATTCTATTGAAGGTAATTGATTTTTTCTTTTTTGATGCTTGAAATAAAGTGTTGAAAAACAATTCTCTGTGAATAGCTCGTATTTCTGCACAGTCTGAATCCCGTGTTTGACCATGTTCGCATCCAAATTAAGAATGTATAAAGGAAACATTCCAGGATAGTGAAGCTAGAGATAGCACCTCCCGTAAACACATCCCAGGGAAGTAAAGATAAAGCCTTCTCTTTTCTCACACCAGGAGGTGAATTTGCCTACATTCCAGAAATAATGAGTAATGTCTCTGGAGAAGATGGGCAGACATGTCAGCAACCCTATAAAAGCCTAGAAACTTAAAATTTGGGGCTCCTGTTCTGTAGTGCAACCCACTCCATGCAGAGGTAACACTTGGCCCTTAGTGTATTACATTACAGGAATTGGAGCATGGGGAACACACACAATGCTACTCTGGCTGCTGTTGTGTTTTGTTTGTTTTTTGTTTTGTTTTGTTTTTTTTTGAGACGGAGTCTGGCTTTGTCTCCTAGGCTGGGGTGCAGTGGCGCGATCTCGGCTCACTGCCAAGCTCCACCTCCTGGGTTCACGCCATTCTCCTGCCTCAGCCTCTGGAGCAGCTGGTACTACGGGTGCCTGCCACCACGCCCGGCTAGTTTTTTTTTGTATTTTTAGTAGAGACAGGGTTTCACCGTGTTAGCAAGGATGGTCTCGATCTCCTGACCACGTGATCCAGCTACCTCGGCCTCCCAAAGTGCTGGGATTACAGTCGTGAGCCACCGTGCCCGGCCTCTGGCTGCTGTTTTTATTGTAAATAAGAAACTGTGTCTCTGATCCAGAGGTTTGTGTGTTTCTGTGTCTCCTTTGTAAAATCTCTTTTACCATGTAAGGTAATATTCATGGGTTTCAGGGAGTAGGATGTAGACATCTTTGGGGAGGCCATTGTTAAGCCTACTGTAGTCCACCCTCTGGTCCCCAAAGACTCATCCATCCCATGTGAAAAATACATTCACCCATCCTAAGGTCCCCATAAATCTTAACCCATTATAGCATCAGCTCAAGTGCAAATCTCATCTAAGTTTCAACTAAAGAGTCCCAAATCTTGTATCTAAATTAGATATGGGTGCAGTTCTGAGTATAAATCTATTCTGGGGCAAAGTTTTATATCTAAGGACCTGTGAAACTAGAAAGCAAGTTCTGTGCTGTAAAACAGTAGTGGGACAGAAATACGGTGACAGTCATAGACGTTCCCATTCAAAAAGGGAGAAAATGAAAGCCAAAAAGAAAACACCAATCCCTTTTAAAGTCCCATGGGCAAACTCCACTAGGTTACTAAGCCTGAGAATAGCTGTGGCTCCTACCCTGCCCTCTGCTGGGGCTCCAACCCTCAGAGCCATCCTTTTTGATGAGGAGTACCACATGTCTGCTACTGACTAGTTTTATCAGCCCATTTCCTGCTGGTAGAATTTAGGGAGCTCGATTGCCTTCTTTCATTTCAACCACTCTGTCTCTTTTAGTCGAATTTCACAGTGTTTCTATTGGTAAACAAAACATTGTGAGTCATAGGGATTCACTCCATTGAGAGAGAGGCTCCTCAACAGATGTTTCCTGAATAATCCTAGCTCTACTTGGGGCTTCTGCTGAGATTGGTTAAGGTGGTTTGTGAGTCACATGCCTCTTCAAAGAGCCCTCTGTGTATCAGAATACTGTAATCTTTTGTGCTTCCTAAGCAGCAGCAAAAGACTACCCACACTTACAAATAGTTAAGATAATAAATTTCATATTGTATATATTTTACTACAATTTAAAAATCAAAAACTTTTTAAAGAAGGATATGCAGCCACATTGTTGGCTTTCTCACCAGAGCATGTTTTCCTTACAGTGGATCTCTTAGCTTTGGCATCTTTTGCAATCTGGATGGGCTGAGAATTTCTCAAATCATTAAATCATGGTTTCATTTTCTAACAGTTCTCTCAATTTATCCCTTTTCTCATTTTTCTAAAAGCAACAAGAAAAATCCAAGTCAGACCTTCATCACTGCTTGGAAACTGCAACTATACAAGTTCATTGCTTAAAAGTTCTGTTTTCTTACAAGTATAGGACACAATTCATCTAAGCTTTCTACCACTGTATAATAAGAACCCTCTTTCCTTTAGTTTCCAGAAATATGTTTCTCATTTTCTTGTGAGCTCTCACCAGCAGCGCTTTTAACATCTATATTTCTACAGTTTGTGGTGTGTGAAGATTTTTTCTGATATGATACAGGTTTTCTCTACCATGCTTTTCACTTACTTCCAAGCCCTCATAACACCCATATTTTTACTAACAGCCTATTCAAGCATATTTAGGCCTCTTCTATCACATTCCTAAGAATTTTTCCAGTCTTTCTACAGATTATCCAAACCCAAATTATTTCTATAACTTCAGTGTTTGTTACAGCAAAGTTGTCATAATTTTGGGGCCAGAAAAATCTTTCTCTTGACTGAACTCACCTATTCTCCAATCTTGCTTTTTCTTTGGGGTGCCTTCCTCATGGACTCTGGTCAGGATTAAACAAGAATAATAGTCCTACTCCTGGTGACTGCCAAGTTCAACCTTACAAATGAAGAGAAAAGGGGGCAGAAAGAGTGACGGTTTCAGGTACCCAAATCTGTATTTGTTTCCTATTGCTGCTTTAGCAAATTGCCACATAGTGACTTAAAGCAACATAAATTTATTCTTCTTTGGAGTCAAATGTATACTGGGTGAAAGTCAAGGTGTCAGCAGTATTCATTACATCTGGATTATTCAGGGAAGAACGTTTCCTTACCCTTCCAAACTTCTGAAGTCTGCCTACATCCCCTGTCCTATAGCTCCTTCCTGCATCTTCAGAGCCAGCAGCATAATATCTTCAAGCATCTCTCTGCTTTTGCCATCTCATTATTTTCTGTGTCTCTGATTTACCTGACTTCCTCCTGTAAGGACTCTTAAGATTACATTGGACTCATCCAGATAATCCAGTCTATTCTCCCCATCTTAAGATCCTTAATTTAATCACATCTGCAAAGGCCTTCTTACTATGTAAAGTAACATATTCGTAGGCTCCAGGGTTTAGGACATGGACATCTTTGCTGGGTTATTTTTCAACCTTCCACAACAGACAATAAACATACAGAACATATAAGATAAGCATTCAAAACCATCATTGAGAGCACCCTACGGAACACATTATTCTAAGGCCTTTAAATGCATAATCTCTCTTCATTCTCTGGCAGTCAAGAATTCTGGCCAAGAAAAGAAACACAGTTTTCAATAAGGAAGCTCAGAAATTACTGATAATTCATAATGATCAAAAGAACAAAGTGAAAATACCTTAGCATTGTGCTCAATTGCTTTAAGTTATAACCGTAATTTTCCTGTCCAATCTCCGTCTGCATCCTGTTTACCAATCGAACTAAACTTTCAACTGTTTTCAGAAGTTCCATAGTTTTTCCTTTTCTGCCTTTGCTCAGGCAATTCATTCCATCTGAAATCTCTTTTCCTCCAACTGTATATATCAGCATACTGCTATTTCTTCTTCTAGATATTTATATAAGTGGAGTAATAAAGTTTGTGTTCTTTTACATCTAGCTTCTTTCATTTAGCATATTTTTAAAAGATTTGTCATTATTTTGTATTGCTAAATAATATTCTATTGTATGATGATGTTGCAACTTATTAATCTATTCTCGTTGGACATTTGCATTATTTACTGTTTTGAGTTATGAATTAAGTTTCTACAAACATAGGCACAAATCTTTGCATAGATGTATTTTCATATTTCCTTTGGTAAATACATAGGAGTGGAATATCTTCTTGGGTGAAGTATTTGCTCAACTATTTTTCCAATTTTAAGATGTGGTTGTTTTTCTTATTTTTGTGTTTGTTGGATATAAAATGCTCCAGAAATAAATGCCCGGTGCCACGAAGTAAAACCAGCACTCGGGCAAAAGTTTAATCCTCTCAGCAAGGCAATTGACTTCTGCAGAAGGGTGCCACCTGTGCCAATTAAGATCGCAAGAGCACAGAGAACAAAAGAGACTAGGGGATTTTTATATCCTTAACGCAATTCCTACCTCTGTGTCCCTCCCCCATGGGCTAGGGTCCGACTGCACAATCTGAACTGACCCGACTGGCTACTTGTACGTATTTTTCTAAATATAAAAGGGGAGGGGGACGTGAGGTGCAGAGGTAGAACAGGTGAGACGTGCAGTTTCGGGGACACAATGGGTGCAGGTAACCAAGGGAACAGATGTGAGTTATTGATTAGGGATGACGGAAAAGGGGTAGGCTGTTTTACAGTAACTAGGGGCAAGGAGGAACAGGAAAGTTGAATTTGAGAACAAAAGACAAGGAAGTTAGCAGGCTAAATTTTTGAAGAGAAACTCAGAGAAATTCGTTGTATCTTACAATTCCTCCTTTTTAAATTTTCTTATGATTTTTCTCTTCAAACTTTTTAACATGTCTTGGCTTTGCAGTTTGTTTTGATCTTCTAACAGGAAACGCTTACTTGAATAAGGTGGAGGAGAACTAAGGGAGGCTTTAGTAAGTGCTGTTTGTACAATTTTTTGTATTTGCCCGTGGATGCATGGTATGACACATCACCTAATGAGTACACCTATTATGATTGCAAGAGAAATAAGAATTGAGGCTATGATTCCTTTCTATTTACGAAACCACTTTCCTAGCCATTCTGAAATAGGGTCATCGGCTTCAGAATTTTTAGCTAATTGATTGGATAAAGCAGTAAATCCCTGCAAGGCCTTTGTTATACTTCCATTGGGAGCAGTGTTGTTTGGGATGAAGGTACAATGTTGGGTTTTAATTATAACACAAACCCCACCTTTTTTTGGCTAATAACATATCTAGAGTTATTCTGTTTTCCCAAGCCATTTGGCTAGTAGGCCTTAATTGTTCGGCTGTTCCTTTGATAGCATCCTTGGTATAATTAATAAACTGCTGCTGATTATAATAGATGTAATTTATCCAAGCTACATTTTTATTAATAGTTACCTGTGGAAATATGGATTTAAATCCTGCAGCTATTTGGTCATGGGCT